CTTGGACTGGAGGACGGTCACATCCGATACGGTCAGCTGACTTCGTCTTCGCATCGCGAGAACAACCCGGCCGACGCTGGACGCCTTAACATCATCCCTAATGTGTGAGTAATAACATGTTATTTAAAAAAACAAACCACTGTCAATTTATATTTATCCATGTATTTGTCCTCCTAGTCAGGTAATGGAGCCTGGATGGAGTCCTTTACCTACAGATGTCCAGCCATATTTTCAAGTGGACTTCCTGGAGCCCATGTGGGTGTCAGGCGTGTCTACCCAGGGCAGTGAAAGGATGTGGGGTTACCTTACCAAGTACCGCCTGGCCTTTGCGCTGCACAGTGGCCACTTTTCAGATTACAGTGACAAGCCTGGTGGGCCTGCTAAGGTGTGTGTGTGTGTGGTTGTGTCCAAAAAAAGTAATTAAATATCATAAATACAATTCTGCTTCAGGTTGAAAACTTCTCATTTGCGATGTAGGTGTTTGAGGTGCGGATGGTCGGGAGAAACCCTGTGACCAGATGGCTTGATAGGCTGGTCAGAGCTCGCTACCTGCGCATCATCCCGGTGGAGTTCAGACACACCTTCTATTTGCGAGTTGAGATCCTAGGTTGCAGAGGAGGTAAAGAATCCAACGGAACTAAATGTGTGGTTTTCACACAGGTTATACCGGAGCAAAAAAATATTCTGGCCTCTCATTGTGCCCTAAGACTGATCAAGTATCCTCACTTCTGCCATAGATGAGCTGGTGACCCCCAGCAGTGTGACGCCATCGCCCTCTGCTGGACGTACAGTGACGGTGCAGCGCTGTAAGCCGGGCCAGTTTGCATGTCTGCACAGTGACCAGTGCGTCTCAGCGTCCGTGGTTTGTGACGGTCAGGCAGACTGCAAGGACCGCACAGATGAAACCAACTGCGGTGAGAATTCATTTTAGTCATGTTCTCCTCAAAAACACAAACTAGACATTCCTATTTTTTCAGGATTTTATTTCCAATGACATCTTAGAACAGGCAAACCTGGCTGACTCGCGGGCCACAATCGGTCCTAAAATTTGTCGGGGGGCCGCGTCAGGAGCAGATAGGTGTAGCGTTGAACCTATGAACTAAAACAAACGACATGTAAAAGTCATAGCTAAAATGCTAAAATGCTTTTTGTACGACATCTATTGGAGAAATGCGGGCATTGCAGGGAAAAAGCAGAAATATAATGATAATAGAAATTAATAACCCGCCAAAATAATAAGTTTGGTGGGCCGGATTAAAAAGCCAAATGGGCCACATACGGCCCCCGGGCCATAGTTTGCCCATGTGTATCTTAGATAAACGAGTCACTGCCACAAACAGGGGAACGTCTTGTTCCTTCATTCCGGCATATGGCGTTAAAACTTTGCCAACTAGTTCGCACCGGAACTAGTTGGCGAGTGGAGCGGACAAATACATTACCAGCACGCGCTATAAGCTGAAGTTTTTGGTTTTTTTTTTCGGAACTTTTTGTCCTTCTCTATGGCTTCCTAGAGTAAGACAGACTTTTGTGATGATTTTATATCCGACATTATGACGTTACCACCATGTTAGTGCGTTCTGACCCATGGCGAAAAACAAGTTAAATCACACCATAGTTATAGAACAGACTCTTTGTACTTAAAAGTGTACATTTCTGCCTGATTTTTTTTTCTCCCAGGCACAGTTCCAACAAGAGGATTTCCAGGCCTGCATAACCAGACCAGTTCTGCTGGGAGACCAGGTTTTCTTAGTGACAGTACGACGGGTGCTCCAGGCCTCCACACCACCAGGTCACAGCGTGGCAGCCCTGGAGTGGCCACAGCAGCAGCCACTGGTCAGCCCTGCTATATCATAACTAATTCACTTTTTATATCTTAGCATGTTACATTGATCTTGATATCGGACAACAAAACCTTCTATCATACACCACAGGCCAACCTGGACTGCACCCCAGCACGACCCTTATATCGGGGAGACCTGGATTACAATCCACAGAAGGTCCAGTACGGCATGCGTGTCCGAGCTGACTTATCGGTCATTTATTGTTCTCTGTTTACACCTGCCTTTTTTTTCTTACAGCTCAGTGGATCACTACAACTCCCTACGATGTTGGGCCACCCAGACCTCCCTGTGTGGAGGGCCAGTTTGCGTGCAGGTCATTTGGCTGTGTGGCCTCGTGGCTGGTGTGTGACGGCACACGGGACTGTTTGGACGGGTCAGATGAGGAGCTCTGTGGTATGCATTAAAACTATATTTAAAGTTTTGAAAAAGGGAACTTAGTCAGGCTTCAAATTTAGTTATTTCAATTGAGACTTTTTGTGATATAAATGACTTTATTCGAGTCAAACCAGCAAAAACCTGAAATTGTGTTTTCTCACGATGATTTTTTTGTATCTTTATGTTTATATCTGTATTTGTCTTCTTCAAAACAGTCTATGTAAAAAGAGTAGTAGAAACAGATTCTATCGCTCTCTGTTGGTTTGTGTGTTGTTGATGGTGTCTTATTGTGAATGCTGTATGATTTTATAATTTGGGTTGTTGTTTTTTTTTTTGGTTATTGATTTTTAGGCACCACTGCCAGACCAGCGGTGACTTCAAAACCTCCTGTGGTGCCCTCTCCATGTTCTTCTAAGCAGTTCCAGTGTGGCAGTGGGGAGTGCGTTCACCAGGAGCGCAGATGTGATCTGCAGAAAGACTGCCTCGATGGGTCGGATGAGAAGGACTGCGGTGGGTGGTGGTTTTATTTTTTTAAGTTATTAGGGATGGCTGGATCCATTACTCAGGATTGGTCTGATATTGGTCAAAATTTCAGGATTAGGCATCCTGAAAAAAACAAACAACGATAGCCAGTCTGATCTATTACCTTAGCCCAAATGCTTAGCTTAGTGTGATGTGACTCTCATCAACGGCAGCTGGAGGAGAAAAGAAGGTTCCGGATTGATATACTGTAGTTAATGTCAGATACTCCAAGTTGTATGTTTTTTTTTATGCCCATGTGTTTCCTCCTTAGTGGACTGCATCATGTCTCCGTGGACAGCCTGGAGTACATGCAGTGTGTCCTGTGGTCTGGGCTCCGTGTTTCGCCAGAGAGACATACTAAGGGAGGCGCTGCCCGGAGGAGCGTGCGGTGGAGCACAGTTTGACAGTCGATCCTGCTTCGCTCAAGCATGTCAAGGTTTGTCCCAAGGTTTGGCATCTTTCGGGCCTTTCCTCACGTCTCATTTTCCATTCACGTTACTCTCCTGCCACGTCTCGTAGTCGACGGTCAGTGGTCGAAGTGGTCAGAGTGGTCAGACTGCGATGTGAAGTGCGGAGGTGGAGTCAGGCACAGGAACCGAACCTGCTCCGCGCCCCCTCCCAAGAACGGTGGGCGAGACTGTGAGGGCATGATACGCCAGACTCAGACTTGCAACAGCCAGTCGTGCACCACAGATGTTGCCACTCAGACAGGTGATGTTAGACACATCCAAGTGTTGCATTCCTTATTAGAAAAGTTAGGTTCAATCTTTAATAAAAAAAAAATGTGTTTGTTCAGGTTGTGTCAATGGAATGGTGCTGGTGACCGAGAAGGACTGCCAGACCGGACGAGTTGAGCCCTGTCCTCCTCTCTGCTCTCACCTCAGCTTGACCTCTAACTGCACTGACAAATGCATTCTGGGTAGGAGAGTGGGCTGGTTGTTAAAATGATGTCAACTATTTTAAAAATATTGACCACATGACAGGTTGCCTTTCAACACGATTATATTGTTTCTTTTTGCGATGTTTAAATGGAGACATAACATTTTGAAACACACATATGCAGAGATATGAATATATACAGTGGAACCTCGGTTGTCGAACGCTTTCCTTTTCGAACAATTTGGTTCACGTAGGCAGCCAGTGATCGCTAAGTGACTTATCGTGCGTCAGTTTGCGCTTGGGATACACACGCTAGGAACTGTTTCAGTTCTTGAAAACCAAGGTTCCACTGTATTTCCATATGTACTGTACACATATACATACTGTACATATCTATTTTATAATGTTTCAATTAAATAATTTATAAAATATAAATATAATAAAAAAATATGGTTTTTGTATGTAAATAAATGTATGTGAAAATGTAGATGCATGACAATGACAAGTATAAACTATGCAAATGGAAAAAAAAGAGAAAATGAAAATGTTGCTAACCCGTCAAATAATATTCATATATATATATATATATGTATATATATATATATATATATGCTTATATATATATGCATATATATATATGAATATTATATATACATATACATATACACACACATATATAAATATATATACACATATATATACACACATATATATATATATATATTTATATATATATTATACAGATAAATTGCACAAGGCAGGAAAAATCTTTTATAATTCTGAGTCTCCGCTGTCTCGTCAGTGTCTATTGGAGTCGATGGGCGTGTGGATTTAGAGCAGTTTGTTCCCTCTTGGAATAAAATATCTAATAGATTGATTCTAATAACAGACCCGGCCTTCTGGAGCCTGCTGGCGTCTGTAGCACTGATGCTGCTGTGCCAAAATGACACTAAAGTAAACTGTACTTTCCACCACAGCCTGGTCAAATCATAAAAGTCATTATAGCCACATGTTGCTCACAAATTGCAAGATTAATAAAAATGACAGACTGGACTACAGCCCAGTCTGTCGTCTCGTGTACTCTCAAGTATTCGTTATCCTCCGCGTCGACCTTGTCAGCCATTATGGTGAATGGCAAAGTCCCGGCAGCCACTAATAGTTACTTAAGCTACGCCGTTATAATATAATAATATATGTATATTAATTATGACACATAATAATTATATGACTCTGTCTGTAGGTTGTCGATGTCCCTCAGGTTTGTACCTTCAGGATGGGAGATGTAAAAACTCCAGCCAATGTGTGTGTCACTGGGAGGGTCAAACACTGCAACCAGGACAGACTGTCAACAAGGACCAGTGTACCACATGGTAAAATATTGTGTTTGTTCTCTTCCCTGCACCTCCTGTACATCAGGCTAATCTAGTTAGCATGCAGCATATCCCATTCTATATCACAAACTTTAAAGGCTTACGTGTACCATTAGAACTGGCTGCATATAATCCTATGTTCTCCTGTGAGGAACTTAAGCATCTCAATGTTATGTGTGTCCCATCAATGCTAACATGGTCCGAGTGGACAGGGTGCAGATTTTAGCCTAGTAGCCGAGTTAACCAAATGTGTTTCTTATAGGCTTGGACTAAAATTTATAATTTTTTTCGTTCAATTGTGTTGATGTGTATTATTTACATCTAGTTACCGGGCCACGGATTCCTGGCCTGGTGGTGGCCCCCCGGGCCTTAGGTTTGAGGTCATTGCTGTATACAGTGCCATTTAAGGAAACAATATTAAATTTTATTTGCTATTTTATTTGTAATTAAAAGAAAAATAACTATCAACAATGCTTCACTAGTGTGTGCAGGGAAGGACAAGTGACCTGTGATAACTCCAGCTGTGTTGCCAGCTGTCAGTGGTCAGCCTGGTCATCCTGGTCGCCGTGTGATGTAACCTGCGGTTTAGGGTTACAGCATCGATACAGGTAGGAGTGGTTTTTTTTCTTCTGTTTTTTTTTATCTGTTTAGTTTTAGAGGATGGAACTGCAGAGTTTTAACGGACTTTATATCCTTAGGTCTCCAGTGAACCCACCCGGAGCTGTCAGAGTAGAGCCCTGTCTTGATGACTCCAGCGAGGTCCGCAGCTGCTCCAACCCCTGCCTTCCTGGTATTTCTCAAACATGACACATGACAAATTTCTAAAAAAGTATTTTATGCATGATAAAGGCTTCAATTACCCCACCCAACGCCCCTTTTTTTCCAACCCAATCCACATGACGGTACAGACAACAATCAGAAAGCACTCAAAAATATATTAAATCAAAAAAAATTTTTTAGCTCCCATACTTTTTTTTAGCAGGTCAACCTCCTATTGACTTGATCACATGACTACTGCTAACAATGACTTTCCCTGTCTGTTGTGCAGAGCTACCTGATGGAGTCTGGGGTAAATGGACCGCCTGGTCGGAATGCAGTAAGACATGTTTCAACTTTGTCGACGAGGTAGGGATCAGACAGCGGTTTCGCACCTGCAACCGCACAGTCGACAACCTCAACTACACGCACTCCGCCTGTGAGGGTCCCGGGGAGGAGCAGGAGCCTTGCAACACAGTCCAGTGTCCCGGTAGGAAAGAGTTCGATAGTCAATCATTCCTGTCCGGCCACATTAGAAATATTTTGATCAAAATTATCAAAGAAGTTAAAGAATTTAGGTTTCACTATAATAATAAATGAGACTTCTTGTAGTACCGACTAGTTCCACTAGGGATCGCTGTGCTCCTACTTATCTGGTTATTGCTTTGTGCTTCCAGTGAATGGTGGCTGGTCGTCTTGGTCACCTTGGTCTCAGTGTTCATCGGAGTGCGACTCCGGCGTTCAAAAAAGAGAGCGATTCTGCAGTTCACCCTCTCCACAGCATGGTGGCAGCAGCTGCCCTGGGCCTCATATACAGACAAGAGAATGCAACTCTCACCTCTGCTCAGGTACTGTTCTCCTTATCCACTATATATACTGGTATATATCAAGTTTTTTTGGTTTACCTCTGTGGTATTTATACTTTTCTGTACTTAGAAAAAAAATTTGAGCGTTGGATTATATTATATTTGCTTTCAGGTGTGTGTCCAGAAGGAATGATGTACTTGACAGCAGCAGAGTGCGAGGTTCACGGTGGCGCGTGTCCACGAGTGTGTTTGGACATGACCCCAGCAGACGTGCAGTGTGCCACAACCTGTTACGACGGCTGCTACTGCGCCCCGGGCTTCTACCTGCTGAATGGCAGCTGCGTGCCCCTGGCACGGTGTCCGTGTTACCATCAAGGGGAGACGCATCCAGCTGGTGCGACGCTGCAGGTCGATGCCTGCAATAACTGGTATTCACAGTATCTGAGCTTTCCATTAATAATATGCGGGTGATTGTGGAACACAACAGCTGATTAAATGTTATTTCTCTGTTGAAGTACATGCACTAATGGAGAGATGGAGTGTGGAGCAGCTCCGTGTCCTGGTTAGTACTGGTTTGATAACAATTTTTTTTTCTCACTCACTCACTTGTTGTCCTGGTTAGTACTGGTTTGATAACATTTTTTTTTTTTAATCTTTTACTTTTTCTCACTCACTCACTCGCCTTCTTTTTCAATGTGATTCGATTGAGTTTTTTTTTTCTTGAACTCTTTCCTCAGTGGACTGTGGCTGGAGCACTTGGACACAGTGGAGCGCCTGCTCTAGAACTTGTGACGTCGGTGTGAGAAGGAGGTACCGTTCTGGAACCGACCCTCCTCCAGCGTTTGGTGGGCAGCCTTGCAAAGGAGAGAGAGTGGGGATGGATACGTGCAGCATTGAGCCTTGCTTTGGTTTGTAAAGTTATTTTCAGTGTACTTGAAGTTTTGCAACCAC